AATGATGGTATATCCTACATTAGTTAATGTTGCCATTATCGATATTCAGACCTTATTATCATGCCCTTTTATAGATAGGCATTTACAGGTGTTGGTAAAAAATACAAGTAATTACTAGGCTAACATGGGTGAAAAGAAATAGTGTTATACTATGTACATAGCATATTATTTTGATACAACAGAACCTGGTGGAGCAAAATGTGGAATTTTGTGTATGCAGCAGATCGTTTTGAGATCGAGGAATTAAAATTAACGACTATATTAGTCTATAAATCAGAATTTGTTTCGATCACTGATGTAAATTTCTTTGATGTACAGGGCGAGTAAAAAAAAAAACGGAACCCAAACCCCAAAAATTTTGTTTCATATTTTAAAAAATATGTAGCACCAAAAGTAATTATGACTGGAAAGCCAATTTTAAAAGGTACTTTTAGATAAAAAAAAATGACTGAAATTAGTAAATCCATTCGGAAAATATCACCATTTAAACACAATGACCCTAAAACCTGTCTCGTCCAAAAGAAATGCGATTTCAAGAATCGTCATCGCAATTGTCTTCAAAAATCACCAGCGATAAAGTCTCAGTTTAAACGTTAAAGATATTTAATAGAATCTCTTTGAAGGCCCGTCCTTTCAAAAAAAGTAGATTTTATAAATCATATTGTTTGCCTAACCAGGGTTGTTAATAAAGATATTGTGTACTACAGTTGGTGACAGTTGTTGAAACAAGTATTCTGTGTCATTTTCTTTGTTGTTCCAAACAGTCAAAACACACAATGATTTTTTTTTTGGACGAGACAGGGTTTAGGGTCATTGTGTTTAAATTGTGATATTCTTTCAACGGATTGAGCAATTTCAGTAAATTTTTCATCTAAAAGTAGCTTATGAAATTGGCTTTTCAGTCATTATTATTTTGGTGCTACATATTTGTTTAATATGAAATATATTTTATGGGGTTTGATTTCCGCTTTTTTACTCAACCTGTATGACGTTTATCGTGTAATACACTTTCGTTCTCATTATATCGATAGGCCTACTCAGATTTGTGATGTTTGAATAATTCTTAAAGCATTAGGGTATATAAGTATTGTGTTGTTTATTTCAATAGTTGGTAATGTGCGTTTGTTTTGATTGACAGCCGTTATAAAGAATACAAGTTGAATGGGTTTTTAAAAAGATTGCATTTTGGTTTCTGTTTTTGAATATGCTTTTCGGTCACAGAAGGTTAAGACGCGAATGTTTGTGTTTTTAATAATTTGATCCCAAGCAACTCTTACTTAAGTAAACATACGTTCCAAGATTCAACTTGGCGAATTTGATGCTCATCAACAACATCTGAGGTTTGGCGGCACTATAATGAATTCCGTTTACCGAATTCTAATAATAGGACTCTCCTGCATAGGGGCTCTGGGTTCCCCAGTCCCTGAAGTCCAGGGTGTTAAATATGTGCCAACAACCAGCATTTTTTTGTAGGTTTGTGAGGCCTTCTTATCTATAGAGGACGTACATATGACGTCATTGACCACTTGTTGGACAGCCGTGTACACGCATGCGAACGGTGCATGTTCGACGCACGCTGATGCACATACCCCTTCCTTTGTGGGACGGACAACATTTTGAGAGAGCTATTGAGGTTACGAATTCTTGGCCATGTCTCTTTCTTCGGCATAAGAAGGTCCCCCAGCTTCAGGATTTTTTAGTCCCCCGACTTGACCGAGTCCAGAACAATATTGGTCCATTCTGGTAGGCTATATACAGTAGAATCTTAAGCAAAGACCAATTGTTGGTGTATTTTCATTGGGTTCAAACGTTCAAGATTCTCATCACGGGTGGACCCAAGGGGTGGGTGGACTGTCTTCTACCCCCCCCCCATAAATTATTACGCATAATGGACAAAATGTCCCAAATTTCATGAAATTGCCTGGACGTCATCGCTTAATATTGCAAATCTAATTCAGTCATTGCTTCTGGTCTTTGCTCCTTGAGAGTTGTGTTTCTGCATTCAGTAGGGGACGTTGAACTATAGAGTACAATAGGGTCCCCAATTCCCAAAGGTCCTCAATTTGGCGATCGTAATGGGAGGTCTTCCTAAAAAGTTTAAGTACAAACAAAAGAGGAACAATAGGGGGTCTCCGATTGCAGGCAATACGTGTTGACCGCAATGCTTCATCCACCCCAACTTGAAAAACTTGGAGTTCAACACCCCATCCATCCCTTCCTCGATCCGCCACTGATCATGAATCTTGAGATGGAGACAAAGACGAGGGTTTCGCAAAGATGCGGGAAAGTTCGAATTCTGTGAGACTATTTCGTTTATATCGTCTAAGTTTGCCAGGAAATTGTTTAATGCCTATTACTGCTACATGTACCTCCATGCTGCATACGATGGGTAGGGCTGCAGGCCATATGCATCGTTTTACCGCTCGATAGTCCGAAAGTAAGGTCCGAAGGTTTATAAGTGTGAAATTTCGGTTGTCCGCGAAGGCTCATTAATCCGAAGGTTCGTTTACACCGAAGGTTCGTTTAGTCGGAAGGTTCGATAGCCCCAAGTGTTCATAAGTTCAAAAGTACAGTAAGATTAAAATAAATTCCAAGGTTAGATAGTCCAAATCGACAGTAAAATTCAACAGTGCGAATTAACAGCATCGAATATTATTGTCATTTCGGACTATTGAACCCAGTGTGCTTCAGGATTAATATGAACCTTTCGGACTACCTTGTTTTCATTTCAGAGTATTGAACCTATCGCATCAAATGCTGGGATTAACGAACTTTATTTCCTTTTTTTCGGGGGGCTATTGAATTTTGCGTGTTCAGACTATCGAAGCGTAGTCTATATGTAATAGACCCTGGTCCTGGCGAAGCCGGCCATGATACCGGAGATCACTCCGTGGAGAACGGGTGATACTCAGACTAATCGAAACTCGGATCATAAAACCTCCGGACTAATGCATAATGTAGCACGATATGTGACAGAAGGACGCCCCTTTTCGTGTTGGTCATTGTGTTACCAGTATCTCAGGAATTCTTTAGAAATATATGGGGGTGTGTGCTAGGTAACAATCACAAGGAGAGGTGTCCGCCCGATAGTCCGAAGGTTCTTTAATCCGAAGGCACAAAATTCCCATAAGAGGGGGTTCGTTAGTCCGAAAATGAAACAAGGCTCGTTAATCCGAACATTTGAAGTAATAGTCCGAAGGTTCATTGATCCGAAGGTTCATTAGTCCGAATTTAGAAGAAGGTTAATTAGTCCGAAGGTGAGTCCGAAACGAAAATAAGGCTCACTAGTCCGAAGGTTCATTATTCCGAATAGAAAATAAGGTCCGATAGTCCGAATCGACAAAAAGCTAGGTCTGATAGTCCGAATTGCCAGTTAGGTCCGATAGTCTGAATCGACAATAAGGTCCTATTGTCAGTTCGGACTATCGAACCTTATTGTCCATTCGGACTATCGAACCTTATTGTCACTATCGAACCTTACTGTTGAATCGGACTATCGAACCCTGTCGTCTCTTCGGATTATCGAACCTTCGGACTATCGGGCTGTCACATACTATGGGGGGGGGGGGGGGGGGAGGGTACCTATCTGTCACATATCGTGCTGGGTATAGATGAACCTTAATTCGGACTATTGAGCGGACCCCATGCATCTTTACTCATACGGCCTACACCCAACAAGAACAGAAGTAGACGATGATGGAATAATGTATCGTGTACATATCGTGCATGTGTACGTGCATGTATTTCTACACAGTCATGTCTGAATTTCTTCATGGTTCCATATGTGGATGATATGCCGTTTGGGGGGCTGTTTTCTTGAGTTTTGTTTCCAAAATATGAAATGGTGGCCGAAGGTTGAATGAAAGAACACATTATTTAGGCAAGATAATAATTATTGATAGTAAAATCGAAATAAATACATATATATTTGCCGTGCTTTCCCTAACACGTAGGGGTGGTAAGCAGGGTATACTTTTTACTTCCCGAGTGCTGCAGGGAAACAATCCACATGTATTTATCTCCGGTGAGATTTGATCCCTTCATGATCCCTGCTTTGTTGAATTGAGCACATGTCTTAACCAATAGACCACCGAAAGTACCGGCGACAAAAATTAAGAGGCCATGTTACAATCCTTAAAATCCCAACTGTATTGTAGCGTGCATCGTAACGGTTCATGCCATTTTGGCCAATATCTGTACACAAAACAGTTTGTGTTAAACTTAAAAGGCTCTTATAGGAAAGACAAACAAAATACAATCCTTTTTAATTTGTTTGTATTCACTAATTCTGTCATTTTGCCGGAAAAAAATCCATCAGTGATCCATTCAAACCAATATATAAAGGAAGTAAATGACTCTCCTTCTTATATACAGCGGTGAACCGTGGTTGCACTATGGTTTGAATAGATTTTTCGTCCAAATAACGGACAGACGGGTATAAAACAAATTGAAGAAGATAACACGTTGTTTGTGCATCCTAATACTGCTTAACATTGAACACAATCTGTATTTTGTAAAAAATATCGGCCAAAATAACATGGTGAACCATCATGGTGAATCGTGTATGCATTGATCATGTCATCCACCCCCCCGCTCAATGCTGTTCTCTCCAGCTGATGGAGCACACACCGCGCAATGAGTAGCCTTGTTCAATGCGGTCTCTCGGCTTTTTGTCGAAGGGAAATAATCGGGCCCTGCACCCACAATCAACGCGGCTGGGTGGGTGTACGTGCGTACGTACAAGCATAGCCTTGCTGTATATGGCACAAGTTACTTTCTCACTAGCAGCGTACGGGCATCGATATGTGCACGCAATTATGCCTTGCCAAGTTGATTAGGGATTTTCTTATCGGCGATTTTTTTTTAAATCGGCGAATCGATAAGCCCAACGCCTTGGTCAAGGCTACGCAATGAGAGACAACATTGATCGGGGGCCGGGGCCGGGGCCGGGGCCGGGGCCGGGGTTGGGGCCCAGCGAGATTTGGCCAGGATTGTCTGAATTTCTTCATGGTTCCAAATGTCTAATGGCAATTTATTGACGGGTTTGCATCCTTATTGCTGGAGGTTTCACTTGTGCTGACCAACCCTCAATTTAAAAAAAAAATCAAGAAAAAGAAGAAGCTTATACCCTTTCACTTTATGTTCAATTATCTGTTGGCTTTTTTGTATCCAAAGTTAATCACCCTCAAAAGTAGTGTTAAATTCCACCGCCAAATGATCCCCCACTTCATGCATAATGCACAACTTTCAGGTTCTGAGATAAACAAACTGAACTTCTGACCCTTTCTTGCTACAAACCCTCAGATACTAGGGCTGAGAGGAATGGCGGTGTCATATGAAAATCCGACTCCTATGAAAATCGGACTCTTTTTCCCTATTATTGGTTAATCCCTTACACGTGACAGGTCACTCTCCCATATACGATCCTAAAAATAGCATATTATCGTACTTACGCATGCGCAATACTACCAATGAGTCCATATTTCATGGAGTCGGATATTCACGCTACACTGGTCCCATTCATTGGGAACAGAAATGCACATTCAGGATTAGGGCTTTACGTTCACTATAACCAGGATATTGTTGCTGAGTCTGTATTAAAGGGAATATACAATGTATGCAAACATGTTCATGACAGTCTCAAACATCCTGTAAAACCATGGCACCTGGTGTGCTGACATTTTCAATTTCACTCTTTTCAAACACTGCTCCAAATTTATCATACTGTAATCAGTCTGCATTTTCTTTGCAATCGGTTACACACCTGTGAACAGGTGCAAGCCAGCTAGACTGATTCCCTGACCTTACAATTCCCCGACGTTTATAAATTGCTGTTTCATCAGTCCTTCTGATTTGAAAATCACAGGTGTGTGGAAAAACGCACACCTGGATTTTTCTAGGTGTGTGATTTTTCTAGGCGTGTGATTTTTCTAGGCGTGTGATTTTTCTAGGTGTGTGATTCTGTGGTCCAAGCTGGGACTGAACAATCTGGTATTTTTTTTTCATAATATTCATATTGATTTACAATACAGCCGTTTTCTCTTCACCGACGTACTTTATTTTTCACAAATTATGAAGTATAATTATGCCGTAAATGTATGCCAAGGTGTGCGGTACTGAGGGATTCAGGCGTGCGATTATTGGCACTTCTCAGGAAGCATTTAGGCGTGTGATGGCGTGGGGGTGCGATCACACGCCTCGAAACAGAAGGACTGGTTTCATCTTAAGTGGGGTCAGGAAACCAGACTACAAGAACATGATTACTTTTCTTGGTTTTTCCAGCATCTATGAACCCAAAACATCAAACAGGTCAGTGTAACAATATTGCTATAAAATACTACCCCCCCCCCCCCAATCCATCCATTTCTGAAAATTACAGCAAAAGCTGTTGTATATTACCTTAAACTATCCTTGTTGGAATTTGAGAAGTACTTGACTATGACACTGGGCATTTGTTCCTCCTGGTGATGACACACATGTTGCTGTTAATACTTTTGCTTCTTGCATGAAGCAAAAGCTTCTTGCAGAAGCTATCTTTTTGTAAACGTGACTTTTCATATAAAACGTTATTATACCCATGTGTATATTAAGCCTGTCTACTGACTTTGTAACCCGTCCCCAACATCAGCATAAACATTTGTCCCTCCTAGTGATGGTACACACGATTCCATTATCGCTATCTCTTGTTTCCTTTGTGAGACATCTTCAGCTTCTTGCGGATGCCTACCGCATCCTCCGAGTCATCCTCCCCGCCCCGGCCACGCCCTTTCTTCTTGTCATCGTAGTCTCTCATTTCCTAGAGCCAAAAAAAGAAAAGGAGGACAAGTTAACCCAATATCACATGGCCAAAAAAGGCAAAGTGGACGAACCTGTGTTAACAGGAACGGAGTGCCCATCTCTCTTTCTTTAGCGATTGGGCCCATGGGCATTGCAAGGGGGGGGGGGGGGGCAAGGGGGGCACTTGCCCATCCCCCCCCCCCCTCCCTCCCCCAGAAAACGGGGGGAAAAAAAAGAAGGAAAAAGACTGTGCGAAGCTATATTGCTGTTAATTTGATGGGGGGGGGGGGTAGGGCAAATGCTCCCCTGCTCACGCTCGGAAAAATGATAAATTGAGAATATAATGAAAAGATTAAGGATTTTGGGGGGAAAATTTCTTTTGCCCCCCCCCCACCCCGGAAAAAAATCCTGGCGACGCCCATGATTGGGCCAGACTCATATGCTGTTGTGGGGGGATCGCCACACCTCCTCCACAGCGAGTCTGTTACCTTCCCAGCATTGAATAATGCCGGTACCCATTTAACACCTGGGTTGAGAGGAGTAATGGAGGTAAAGCGCCTTACTCAAGGGCACAACACATTGTATTCAATCCATGAGGAAACCATAATAACCTCAGCGTGCTCGAGCAGTTTGGAGTGCTAAGAAACTAAGGAGGTCATGAGGCCTTTCCACACGACAGTATGTCCCAAAAAAGGTGTCCATCTGACTACTTTTTAAAGGGAATAAACAAAATATGGAAACATCGAAAAATAAAACTACCAAGTTTTTACGAAATACCTTACTAGAATGTTGGTAAATGACAGTCTCAAGCATCCTGTAAAATTATGGCACCTGGTGTGAAGTCATTTTCAAGAAAATGGTGTTTTTGTATACATTTCCAACGGTGATCGGCCGACCAGCGTTGGAAAAACCTAACTATTTTTCAACTTTTGCTCCAAATTTACCATTTTGTCAGTCCAAAGTTTGTTTGCTATTGGTTACACGTTCATGAACGGGTGCAGGCCAGCTAGACTGGTTCCCTTGCCTTACAATTTTCCATCAGCTATAAATTGATCCATTTTATCTTTTGTGGAGTCAGGGAACCAGACTACTTGAACATTTTTGTTTTTCCTTGGTTTTTCCAACCTTTTCGAACACAAAACTTCAAAAATGTCAGTGTAACAATATTTGATCTATTATACTAACCCCTCAAATAGTTCATTTCTGAAAATTAGAGCAAAAGCCAATGATGTACATTCCCTTTAATAACTACAAAACCATGAGGTCAAATTTGAAAAATGTTGGTTATGCAGATACTCCTAAGCCTTGGTCTCAATCCCTATGAGTTTCATTTAATTTTAGTCAAGCATCACTGTACAATTGTCAATCGATCACGACAACATTTTGGACACTGTGACCAAGTTCCTTGCCTTATTCAATTTTAGTACTGTGTTAAGTAAGCTGTGTGAAATCCTTCATGTTGTAAAAAGGGCTGGGGTTGGGAATTGAAATCCAGATAATATCAACTATCCACCCTCAAAGTATGCAATAGTTACTGATCAGATAATATACAAATAATGAATGTTTGTGAGTGCCATGGTAAGAATAATTTCGTGAGGTGACAGATGAAATGTTCCATTCCACGAGGCGAATGAAATTATCCTTTCCATTGCACGAACGTGAAACATTCATTATTAGTTTTATATAACACCTGAATACATCCTTGTCAACTGATTGGTTGACTTTTAATAACCAATTTTATTCAGGTTAAAAACTGTTTAAAAGTTCGACAAGTTCATCATATTTAATTCATGCAAACTGTTCAACAGGTTGAGAACCATCATATTCTATTTATCTCAATTCAAAACAGGGCCACCACTAGCAGCAGTGACACCGTGCAATAGAAGTTCTACTCACCGTGCAATAGAACTACCATTGCACTGTGCGCTACACGCTGTGCGCTGGGACGAATAATTCATCGACATTTGATCAACGATCCACCAATCAGATGACAGGATTTATTCAAGGGCGGATCCAGAACACAATTTTTTTTGGGGGGCCCAAAATTTTTTTGGATTCAATTTCGAAAATTTTTTGGATTCTAGATGTTCTGTGGTGCGATCTGAGGCAATTTCTGACCACTTTAACCAAGTTTTTTTGAGGAAAAGATGGTGGTGTACTCATTGCCTGCCTTTATTGCGATGTCACATTAAAAAAAAAATTGTTTTCTTTTGGGGGGGGGGGGGGGCCATGGCCCCCTTTGGCCCCCCCCCTGGATCCGCCCTTGGGTTTATTCAGGTGTTGTGTAATATCGACTATTCACCCTCAAAGCATGCAATAGTTTTATACTGACCAGTTTAGCAAAGCGTTGAGCTTCTGTCACCCGCTCCATGAGCAGCATCACTTCCTGTTCCTCGGTGGGGAATAACGGCAGTTTCTTGTCAATCAGCTGCTCAATGCGCTGGTACAACTCCACGTCATACCTGGCGTGGGGAAAAACATGAGGCTAACGGGAGTGAAGATTCAACGCGTACTAGTGCCCGAAACTGATCTTCCGGGATCGGTTCGGTTCGGTTTCCTAATCATGACAAATTCAATAGTATTCTGCATGTACACTGCAAGCAGAGGTAAGGTAAGTTTTAAACACTCCTCCTTGCAAGAGGTGCATTGAACAAAATTTCCCCATAAAAACAGCAAATGGGCAATTCCACGGTTACTCACGTTACGTTTTTGATGGACTTTTTGAGTTTCCTTGGGCTGTAATTACCTTACTGAAAAGATTTAATAACTGTTATCCCCATGGTAGATAGAGTAGACCTAGACCTACCTAAGCACCAAAGATGACATCCAGAAAAATGTGTTATGTATGATAAACAAGACGCACAAAACCAGTTACTCCCGTTACGAAAATGTAACGTGGGTGACCATGGAATTGCCCAAATCATTAATGTCACTTGACAACAATCTAAAGCTTGAATACAATTAAAGCCGGAGTCCATCATTTGCAGCTATCCAAAAAAAGTAACTGGCGTAACTATTCTTTAAAAGATACTTGGTTGAAAGATAGTAAGGGGATTAAACTCCCTGTGAAATTATTCTTTCTGGCAAGCTCTCATTTTGAAGAAATCAACGAAAGAAGGCATTTCCAACAGTGCGTCTTAAGAAGCGCCGTAGGAAAATTTAAATAAGTAGTTTGTTTTGTTATTCGGCGCAGCGCGCGCAAGCATTGGCACGACGCACGTGGTTGCTATATTTCGTCGGATCAGTGCGCGACATCGCGTAAAGCTGCAATTCAGAACAATTCAAAACATGATTCAGCAACTTTTGATTTGAAATTGAGATCCTAGAATGCTGTTTTTCTCGGAATATACAGCTGAAGCTGAGCTGAAACTTCATCAGGTTACTAGTTCAGTATCCTTCATTAGATTTTGGGCACTTTTGTTGCTTCAAACGAACAAAATGCGCAAATTACAAATGATGGACTATGTCTTGAAGTAGTTTGGACATAATTGTGCTGACTTACTGTGTGACAAACGTGATTGATTTTCCAGCCCGGCCCGCTCTGGCCGTCCGCCCAACCCTGTGGATGTAATCCTGTTCAATAATAATGATCAAAAGAAAATAAAAAAATGTTGGGGACAAGGCATTGAGCTATATTAAATTACAAGAGCGCTGACTTGATGTACAAAGTGATGCCTGCTGGGCGCAACATGTTTGTGCACAAAACTCGAAATTTTGTATGGCTTTTGTACGGCTATTTGCATATCTGTGTTTGTATTCTATACAGGTGTGTTATCGAAGCTGATACGCCCAAAACGGAAACGCACGATCATCAAAATGAGCGTGTCATTTTGCTTACGCAAACAGCGCAACGCGTGTGCGTATCCGCTGCAGATGATTAACCGTCATGTGATTAACCGTCATGACCGTAATGACGCGCTTAAATTATTGCGTACGTTCCACTACTTGCGCGTTGCATTTAGAGTACACCTTTAAATTTCAATCCATCTTATTTCATTGTGTTCTACAAACACGCACATGAATTCAAAATGTCTGCGCCCAGGACGGCTTCAAAGAGTCTCCACTCTCCATGCGCTAGAATGAGGAGTTAGCACTCTAGTAATTTCATATTGCTCTATGGTACAAGGTCATTAAAATAATTATGCAAGTACAACATGATATAAAGATAAGGCCAAAAAAAAAAATACTCGGTCTCTGGTCAGCGCCGCGTCGATTTTAATCATGCATGTCAACCTTTTTTTTCCTTCAAATTAACACGGAAGCTACAACAGCGCCCTCTATTGCCGCACCTTCTCAAAGTTTTGTACCAAGGAGCACCAAGGAATGGGGAAATTGCACCAAGGCAAATGATAAAGGGCACCAAGGCAAATGATGGAGGACACCAATGTATAATGAGGACACAAAAAAGCAAAATAGTACCCACCTTGTCTGTACAATACAAGCTTGAAAAAAAAAAGCCACCAAAAAAAAACAACAAAAAAACGCGTCGCGGCATCAATTCCGGAACTTCGGTTTGACCAGAGACCAACTATTTTTTTTTTTGGCCTAAGTAGCGCAAAAGTAAGGATGCGTTTTAGGAATCGCAGTAAAAATGGTCAGTCCAGATTTTGCAAAGAATGTAGTGTACAGACGCGCCTTCTTTGGTTGTGTACAAAGTCTGTGGAGAGTTGAATGCATTTTTAAAGTATTTTCCAACAAAATTAGGAAGGTTTCTCGGTCCCGGATTCATGCTTTTTTTCCAACATGTGTGCAATGATTGACCTTCATTACGATAACATATGATGAAAAAAAGTGGCATCACGATTCAGCACTCTTTCCAGATTTCATTATGAGGGTTTTGTTATTTTCAGAAAATGTATTTATAAACTGTTTTCGTTTGCCAGATTTTTAACACTTTTTACAGTCACAATACATGAAGGAGACAGCAATCTGGGCTGAACAGCATAAGGGTGATAATAAAACAAAAAATGCACCCCCAAAAAAGAAAAGAATTGTCAGCAAAGTTTCAGTCAAGTGACTTTGCTCTCACCTTTGAGTGTGTAGGGATGTCAAAGTTGACGACAACATCAACGTGGGGAATATCCAGGCCCCTGAGGTATTGAAAAATAAGAACACAAGCAAAATCTGAAACTTCCACGTTAAAGGGAATGTACAACATTTCCTTTTGCTGCAGTTTTCAGAAATAAATGGATTTGGAGAATTAGGCCAAGAAAAAAAAGTCTCCGGTTTCTGGTATGCGCGCGCGTTGCCGTAGCCATGCACGTCGGCAAAATGAAAAAGTTTTTTTTTCAATGAAACATGATGTCTCAAAACCGCCAAACTAACTGGTTTGACTGGAATCCTGCTGCTGCACAATTTTAACGTGCTTTTAGATTGGGTTATGGTCGAGAATAAGCGTTATGTGGCCTCTCTGGACTCCCAAATATTTGCACTAAGTTTAGTCGGGCACCATTCGCAGTCATCAGCCGACATTTGAAGCAAAAAAATCAGGTAAAAAAAAAAAAAAAGCCGCATCGCCGCACCACTTTTTGGGCAAGCTCCATACCAGAAACCGGAGACTTTTTTGGGGGGCCTTAGTATGTTGTAGTAAATAAGGTTAAACTGACTTGTTTCACGTTTTGGGTTTGTAGATGCTGAAAAAACCAAGAAAACCTATCATGTTCTTGTAGTCTGGTTCCCTGACCCCACTTAAGATGAAACAGAGAAAGTTATAAACTTTGGGGAATTGTAAGGTCAGATAATCAGTCTGGCAGGCTTGTACCCCTTCACAGGTGTGTAATCAATTGCAAAGAAAATGCGGAACAACTGTTATGAAAAATTCGGAGTGGTTTTTGAAAAAAGCCAGTTTTGTGCAACGCCGGTCGGCCGACCAGCGTTGGAAAAATACAAGATTTCTTGAAAATGTCAGCACACAGGAGACAAGATTTTACAGGATGCTTTAGACTGCCATTCCCTTACAATCCAGTAAGGTATTTCGTGATAATTTGATGATTTCGTTTTTTGATGTTTGCAAATGTTGTATCTTCCCTTTAGGCTCGGCAGAATCATTTGATTCATTGAATGTAAATCAGTGCATGTACAAGGCAATTTACCATGGTACAATGTACTCCAGCTGATATGCTGTACGAAATATAGCAGAACATATCTGGTACCCCCAATGCCTTGGCTGCTGACGTCATGATGACATCATCGGGTATCAAATTACAAGCGATTTTAGTTGAAAAAGTCACAAAGTTCTTTCACTTATAACTCTTGAACAAAGTAATGAATTATTTTGGTGTTTTTAATGGGATAGACCAATAAGAAATTGATAAACGTTTTTTTTTTGGTCGTGTACGTGAAGTCGCTCAACCTTAACTTCCGGGTTACTGCAAGGTTAGAGTTAGCTGAATTCAAATGTAGAATTTTCTTCCGAACGGTTTGCGGGATACTGATAAAACCTAGTATTTATAAACCTGAAAAAATTGGTCACGTCATCATGGTATTAAATTACAAAAAAAAAGAGATTTAAAGGGAAAATACAACATTTGCAAACATCAAAAAATAAAACTACCCAATTATTTTGAAATACCTTGCTGGACTGTTAGTGAATGACCGTCTAAACATCCAGTAAAATCATGGCACCTGGTATACTGTCATTTTCAAGAAAAGTGGTATTTTTGCATCAATTTCCAACGCTGGTCGGCCGGAAAAACTGGTTTCTTTTTCAAATAATGGCCCAAGATGATCTTATTTAGTTAACGAAAAGGAAAGGGCATGTATGACGTCATTATGTCATCATCAGCTAATTATTACATGAAAAAATATAAATTAATAATAATCTTCAGAACTGCAAGCATCTCAACAACAAATTTGGTATCAAATTAAAGGGGACAACAAGAACTTTCATTTGAGTGGTATGTCATTGGGATGGAATATAGTTGAGGGTGATTTTGTGGGTCAAAAAAACCTTTTTGGTCAAGACCTGTTTTTTTCGGCTAAAATCATGGATTTTGGGTAGTCACTTTGACACCTTGTTTTAACATGCAAACAGTATGTGGTATTGTGAGATGTTGTTTTTAAGTCACAGAGAAAGGCTCAAATTCTATGCCAAAAGAGTTTTTGTAATTGATTATTAGTATCTTAAATGTTTAAACTTGTTCCAAAGATAAGCAGAAAAGTGAGGTACCTTAGTGATAAAATCGTGACACGGGTGGACAAAAGCACCATTTTCACACCAAAGCATCTCCATTGTTTACCTTTTTGAAAAAAAGGTAGGGTGCAAAAAATTGGATGATGGGAAGGGCCATTTATGACATCATTATGACGTCATCGGCTAATCATTACACACTTATACATTAAAATTTAGATATTAGTTAGGATAAGCCATGGATCGTTTTTTTTTACATTTAATATACGTTTCTGAGATCAAGGAAATCAGTGCAGTTGCCAATTTTGTTCTTAGACTATCTTTAAAAGATTTAAATACAAATACTTAGATAAAATGAGGGATGTTTTCTAATTTAATGTATTAAATTAAACATGTATGTACATGTACATTTGACCCTCGCTCCTATCCCCTGTTGTGATCAATGATTTGTTAAAATGCAATGTCTTACGTCATGATTATCTCATAAATGATTACCTCAGGAATGATGCCACGAGGCATTATTTTCCACAAAAGTTTCTACTGTCCTTTCGGCTCCGTATTCTACATCAACTGGCAATGCACTTATTGCCCTAAACCCTTCAACATTAGCCAGGAATTGAGCATATACTTCTCCGGCGTTACAATTTAAACCTTTTTCTGGACAACATATAGTTTTTCTGGTGTAGTTTGCATGCAGATAATGCAATCAGTCCAATCCATGATGACTGTCCTGAAATACGATATTAACAGTTCACATAAGCAATAAAAAGGTAGAATGTTCAAACCAATTATACATTCCAATGTTGCAAAATAATACGTTTTGTGGAAGTTTGTAAACTTGCAAAGGTATATTTTACGGAAAATGAATTATATCTACAATTTCTACAAAGACTTCTGTTCATTTTTAACAAAATCTCTAATAATTAATAAACAAGACTACAGATGAAGCTTTTTTAAAGATTATTTATTTGCACGATCTCAGTCGCAATCCAGCTTTGTGGAAAATAACAAGAAAGGATAAACTACTCACACAGTGGACCTTCAGAAATGCTCTGCTCGTGTCACACAGAATATGATGTCTGATGGATACTTCAATAGGATAGACGGTCCATCAACGACAAGGATGGTGCATTTAATTGAGAAACACACTTGTGCTTGTGCATCATGGATAATTGTTTGTCTTTTTCACGTCCCAAACTAAAAACCTTTACAAACTGCAGGACATGACTTGCTGCACTGGTATTGTGTTTGTAATGGTTACAGCCCGATAGTACGAAGGTTCTCTAGTCAGAAGGGTTGTTAGTCCAAAGGTTCAATAGTCCGAAGGTTCGATAATCCGAAGGTTCGATAGTCCGAAAACAGAATACGGTTAATTAATCCGAAGGTTCGATAGTCCGAATAGACGATAGGGTTCGAAAGTCCGAATTGAGAAAAAGGTTCGATAGCCCGAATTGAGAATAAGGTTCGATTGTCCGAATGGGCAATACGGTTCGTCAGTATGACTCTTCGGACTATCGGACCTTACTGTTGATTCGGACTATCGGACTTTATTGTCGATTCGGACTATCTGACCTTACTGTCGATTCGGACCATCGGACCATCATAGTGTCTTTTCGGACTATCGAACCTTACTGTCAATTCGGACTATCGAACCTTCGGACTATTGAACCTTATTTTCAAGCCCGCTGGAACAAACTTTTGCCAGGGGGTGCTGGAATTTCTAAAGGACGGACAAAATTAATGCGAACTCGGAGCGCAAAGCCCTTACGGCCTGGCTTAAAGGGCCCCTAAAAGTTTTGGAATATGGATGCTCTGTGGTGCAATATGAGGCGATTCCTGGCCACTTTCATATGACTTTTTTAGCAAACGTTTTTTGAGATTATAAAGACAATTTATTTCACTTTTTGTATAGAATATACTGTTGCTCTTATAACGTTTCTACTGTACTGAAAAGTCGAAAACCCTGTATTTTTATCTCCATTCTTTGTTTCATTTAATTCTGGAAAAAGAATTGTATCATTATGCATGACATCGCATGTAAATATTATTGTTGCTAGGCTGCTTTCTTACATTTAGTAAATTCCGTCGTGTATGTTTTGTTTTATTTTCCCGAGCCCTTACGGCGTGGGGCCACAGGGCCAGGGGCCTGCTTTAAGGCCCCTGAAAATGTTGGATTCTGGATGCACTGTGATGAAATATACTGAAGTATATACAAATGTACTTAAACTTATAAAACCCGAAAGGATGTTTTTTTGTTCAAGTTAAAACAAAATGGTTCCACTGGAAGCGGGTGAATTTCTGTTCATAAAAATATTCACATAGGCCTAAACGATGTAGCTCTTGATATATTTGCAGTGTTATTTGTTTGTTACAGGGAATGGCAAATATAAAAGACTAACAGACAAATTGCATCTTTATGTTTATGATCGGTAGGTGGCAAGTTTCGGGCTAGGCAAGGATTTATTGGTCTACTGAGTTTTTATGAGAAAAAACTTGCAGAGGGTAACACATGAATAACTCTTTTATTAAAACAAAACTACACTGGAACTAGTTTCAATGGAAGCCCGTCCCACTCCTATTAGGTTGGGATGTGTGTGAACATTGCTATTTGTTAATGTTGAGTACAGAATGCTAGCAACGTCAATGAAACTTTTAAATGAAAAGAAAAATCTTCAGGGGAAAGGTATGCACTTTGCCCCTATTGAAAGATCGAATGAAAAAAATCGTGGCAAGCATAATCAACTTTGCCACCATTGTCATGGCCGAGGTTATGTTTTTTCGGGTCAAAGCTTCCATCATGGCAGAAATATCATAGACATGTCATGATTTTAGATACATTGAGAGAAATATCGATTCTGCACTGCCTGAAGATTTAGAAAATACCTCCTCCTGATATTTTACAGTGTCACTTTGTGCTAGACGTTTGAAGCGCCGCGCTTAGCCGCGGCAAAACTAGAAACG